TATATATATATATATATACTGTGTTTCCCTGAAAATAAGACACTGTCTTATTTTATTTTTTTGGCTCACAAAAACACACTAGGTCTTATTTTTGGGGTAGGTCTTATTTTTTATTTTTTTTTAATGTACAACAATCCAAAATGAATACAAATCCCAATTAAATAATCTAAAATGGCAAAGTTAACAATAGGGTGATCAGGGCAATCAGGGATGCCGTACCTTTCCAAGAGCAATTTGGTAACCAATCGCTGGCCAGAATGAGCGAAGCGCGCTTTCACTATCAATTTCTCACAGGCGGAGTGCATTTGGTATCACTCCGCCTGTGACAGAAGCTGGAGCTATAGGGGAGGCATCGGCTCTGCTCCCTCCGCTGCCGCCTCGCTTCCTCTACCACTAGCTTCGTTGGCACCGCCAATTCTCTCCCGCGGCTCTTTAAGTTTCCCCTTATGCCACCATAAGGCCCTGGGAAAGGTCACAACTAGGTCCTATTTTCGGGGTAGGTCTTATATTTTAGCAATTCCCAAAAATAATACTAGGTCTTATTTTCGGGTAGGTCTTATTTTCAGGGAAACGGTATGTATGTATGTATGTATGTATGTATGTGTGTGTATATATATATATATATACTTTTTATTACATTACCATTACCCTTTTTTTCCAGCCGGATGGTAAATATGACGTGGGAGGGGGAGAACGCTTTGATACACTGACCGATCTGCTGGAGCACTACAAGAAGAACCCAATGGTGGAAAGGTCAGGAGCTGTGGTGCATCTTAAGCAGGTAAAAAACTCACAATCATATGCTGCAGTCATTCTAAATTCATATATTTTGTTTTAAACAGTAGCCACCTGGAATGTGATTGGTTAGTGTGGGTACGCATGCACTCCCACCACCACCCTCCTGCCCAGCCAAGTACCTTAATTTCACATAATATAAATGAAGCCTTAATTCCTCATTGTGTAAAGGATTACTTCTCCAAACTCCCACAGCATCAGCCTCTTGACAAATGCTTAAACCTTGGGCATACAATCTCCATTATCCAAAATGAATGTAAAGCAAATATATAAGCTTGATCTTTTAAAATTAAATGTCTAACTCCGTAGATTCAGAAATGTACGTAGCTAAAGTATGTAAACCTTTCAGAGAATGGCTCACTTTGTTGACTAATAGTGACAGTGAACAGTTGGGTGGAGACATGGCCAAACTTGCTTTTACATAAAAATTGACATAGCCTTACCCTGCAGCTTACCTACATGTGTGCCAACAGCAATGGCACTGAACAACTGCGGAAGTTTTCTCCTTTTCCATTGATTTATCTGCTTTGGCAGAGTAGGGCGCCTGTAACATCGGATATTTGAATCTGTGATGGGTTCAGCTCCTTAAGGGCCAGGCCACCTCTGCTTTGTATGGCTGACAGACTGGACCAAGCACTGGAAATCCTGCACATATTTACCTTCCTAATACTGATACACGAGGCCTAGAGTTATTATATTCTGAAGGATTAAACTGAGAAAACATGTGAAAATATCCCATACATACAATATTCTGGTTGCCCAAATACAATCTTCACTACAGTTAAGGGTTTTATTAAGACAGATGTACGTTTACTGCTTAGTAATTTTGGGGGTTCATTGATATCCAATTGCCCCTTCGTTGACCCTGATTACGTTTTTGGTTGTGTAATTCATAACTTGTATTTGCTTTCAGCCATTCAATGCAACGCGAATCAGTGCAGCCAACATAGATACTCGAGTTCGAGAGCTGAACAAAATGGCTGACAACACGGAGAAGGCCAAGCAAGGATTCTGGGAGGAGTTTGAGGTACTTTTTATATTGCCCTAAACTGTAAACTGTGCCTTATTTATTATGTAGGAAGATCAGTGTAAAAGCCATGACCCTAGTTTGCTTTTTTTTTTAAGTTGTGAAAGTCAGAAATCTGTATATACAATGAGATGGATGATTTTTTTTTTGTACTGCTCTCCAGATCTGCCATTTGGAATAAATAATTTAAACCAGAATAAAAACTGTTCTAGCTATGAGATGTCAGAGAGCTATAAATATAATGTAAAAAGTGCTAAAATACCTGACACACATAAGAGAATAGCTTGAACGAATGCACAGAAGATTGTTAAATTCCAGGGCTATATATGTTATGTGGGTCGGATGGCTGTGTTTGGTAGACCAAGTAGCAGGTGAACCTTGCATATTGTTCCTTTAATAACTGTGCATATAGATCTTTTGTTTTTGCTGTGCCTTGTGATTTTTCCTATGCCTTTTACTTCAGATGCTGCAGCAGCAAGAATGTAAACTACTCTATCCAAGAAAGGAAGGACAAAGGCCAGAGAACAAGTGCAAGAACAGATACAAAAACATTTTGCCTTGTAAGTATGATGATGTACCTCTGCTGGAGCTCAGTAGGGAATAAAGCATGTTAGAAGTCTGTTCAAGTTACGTCCTCTTCCACCGACCAATTTATCCAGACCTGTGTTTTGAAAAGCTTGGACAGCTGCTGTGAAGTAATGAAACATACTTGTTATAGCCTCAAAAGGGACCTGTCACATATAACAAAAGATCAGTGCTGTCTGAGTGTATAACTAAACAAAAATGGCAACCGCACAATTTATAACTAGCCTTGAGAGCAAGGTGCACATGGAAGGGCTTACAACAATAGAAAAAACAAAAATTCCCAGCACACTTACCGGCCAGCCTTCAACAAAACAAATTACACTGTCCAACAATACGTGATAAAAACAGAGGTTTTAGTTGCACAACTTTTGCAAAATATGTGGAAGCCGCACTGCCTTGTCAAGGCTCCTCCATGTAGCGTGGTCCTAACTCTAATCTATGAGAGCCTCCATCTTGGAGCATATATAGCAGTAGATAAATTGAATGCAGGTATGCCTGGAGGTGCTCCACTCCTCCTTAAAGACACAGGGACGCACTGGAGTCCCAAAACATATGCTGGAGCCTCCAGTGCCTCCTTACATCAAATACAGCCAAGCTAAACAAAAATGGTGCATGTGCGCAGAGCGACATCCTGGACGGTTATATTTAAGGAAGGCCAGATGAATTTGTATTTGCACCTTTTGCCCTGACCAGTGTTTTTGTTGCTCGATACTGTTCGGCTAATTGGATGCCAGGTTTGGGGTAAACCTATTTAGCTCAGTATTGTTGAGATTATAGGGAATTTGCTTTCACTCTCTGATTATCTAATATTAGCCTGATACAAATTGTAACACTTAATGGTTTCTGTATATTGGATCAGTCTAAAACCCTATAGACATTTGGCTTAAAATAGAACTGTACTCTATGATCATATATTGTCACGATTAGTAAGCTCAACTGGGACAAACACTTTATTGGGACAGCATCTAACTCCTTAGGTTATGGTGCAGTGGAATGGCTTGATTTGATGAGTACACTATAACTGTGGGACTATATTATGGACTATCTCTAGACCTCTTGGGATCCCCTATTGTCCCTGGGTCAGAAGGTACTTGATACCTGGCGGTGGAGGATACAGTGCCCCCAGATATACATACAAATTATCAAGCACAATAAAGTCTAAAGAAGCAGATTTCACTCTTCGAAACGCACGTTTATCGTTGTGATACATTATTCACCTTCATCGAATATCCATAGGATCAGACAATCTATGACGACACTGTGAACCTTGGTCTCTGTATAGATAGAAGGTTGATTTGGCATTGGTGTAATTGTGCTAAGTTATACATGTTGGTGCACTTTTTTTGCAATAAAATGTATATATCTGGTAAGGGTTAAGTGCTCATTTTGCTTAGGGACCTAAAATAACAGATGTACAGTACTCACCTGAACAATGATCCCGGCTGGCTCTAGACCACTCCCCTCAGCCTGTCTCCTCCTCCGGCAATGGAATCCCCCTTGGGCGTCTTCACGTCCTATACACTGTATAGGATGTGATGACTCATTGGAACTTAGACCACCGGAGCAACGGGGGGAGTGAGCCTGAAGGGATAGGTCTAGGTGCCAGCCAGGATAATGGTTCGGGTGAGTATATCTCTTGTTATTTTAGCTCCCGAGGTAAAACGAGATCTTAACCCTTGCAGTGCAGGGGTAGCCCCACTGCAAGGGTTAAGCTTTTATATTCCCAGAGTTCTCCTTTAAATGGTAGATTACATCTGTGTTTTTGAAACAAAAAATAAGCAGTGCCTTTTTATATCTTTGTGCATAGTTGACACTACGAGGGTGGCATTGAGAAACACGGATGAGAGCCTTCCTGGGTCAGATTACATCAATGCAAACTACATCAAGGTAATGTGTGAAATGTTGAATACTGTTAATGATCAATTTAAGAGGAATTGAAGCTAAGCTGTAGATGTAGCCGGAAGGGACATAATTGGAATGCAGATGTCAGAATGAGGTGATGATGTAATGAAAATATTAAACCCTCATGACACTGGGAACTTCACGTGTAAACTGAATCTGAAATCAATGGCAGTGTTATCAATGGCAGCTTATAAGATTCCCTATGAGGCAGCACCATGCAGCTTTGGATAGTTTCTATTTTGCTCTCAGCAGGGATGAATCCAATATTGGATGAATGAAATCAAACTTTGTAGATTTCTTTGCCACGGGAGTCTCTTGAGACTTACCCAGGTGATTATTCAGTCTCTGTACATGTAACGTTATGGCCCTTTTAAGAAACTTTATCAGTTGATATAAGAACATCTTTGTTGTTTCATACTCCAAACAGCAAGTTTTGTAAATATGAGATGACCAGGCTATCAGGGCCTGACATTGTATTGGCACATGGATCTCATGTTAAAGGTGGTATATTGGTTAGAAGTAATCAGAAACACGTTGTTTTTTTTCGTAATCTGTCGTTTATTGAACAAAAGTAAATTCTGACATATAAAGTGATCGTTAAGGTCTGCACGCAGGCAGCCAGCAATTCAACATCAATTATAAAATGTACATTGTAACAATAGCATCGACACCGCAGGCGAGAAAGCATGTATCAAGGCACAGTGACATATCAATGTGTTTCGGTCTCATCAACCTGGTGCGACCGTGTCACTTCTGCGAGTAACATACTGCGACATATCTGTTGTAGATTCATATATTAACAAACTCTAGGTTGCGACCATGTTTGGGGAACTGTTCCTCGAATTAAACAAAGGCAATGCCCTCCAAACGGGACCCACTCCAATAAATTCTGGGTGTACCTATGAAACGTAAAGGCATACAAAACTGGAAACTCTGACCTCCTCACATGGTAGCAACTCACCAATTGACTATTAGTAGCTCACAAAGTCATTCAGTACATGATCCACTAGGGATACAGAACTAGAAAAGTTAGAAGTATTAGCAAGTTTTAAAAAAAGGAGGAAGAAAGTATGTAAAGTATAGGAAGGAAGGCACTCTTGCCAACCCCCGTGTCTCCCCCGGGGTGCGATTTAAAGATCAGGTAGCCCCAGACAGGACGATCAGCTTACATTGGTCCAGAGCATGTGGCGCCCATTCAAGGAGCCGCACCTAAAGGCCTCAATCGGGACTCATGATCTGCAGGTATGGGTCAGTAGTGGTGTAGTGTGTCCACGCTCTCCAGGTGTCCCGAAATCTCTCCTCAGTATTGTGGACAGTGGCCATGAGATCTTCCAACTGGTGAATCTCATTGACCTTTGAGAACCAAAGGCGCAGTGATGGAGCTTGGGTCGACCTCCAGAGGGCCGGGACGCACGCTTTGTCAGCATTAAGTAGGTGGATTGACAGAGATGCCTTATACTTGCGTCGCGACAAGCTGGTCATGTGTAGTAAAAAGACCTCCGGACTCACCAATCTGTTGATGATGTCTCCCACCTCAGTCTAAAAAACCTAGTCAGGGACGGGCAGCTTGGTGACCACATCTCCAGCACACTGCTGCGATGGAAGGGTTCATTTTGTTGAGGACGTGTGGAACCCTATACCACCTGGAAAGGATCTTATATCCCTGCTCTTGAAATCTGTTGGCTATCGAGCATTTAAGTGTAAAATGAACCATCATATCCCGCTGCCGAGGGGTAAATGAAGTATCCAGTTCAGGTCAGAGATAATGCATGTCGGACTGGTACCCCCTTCCCACAGACATCCTCAAATGGAGTCAATGGCCTGTCGATTTGCACCGAGGCGGGGATTGCCATCAAAAAGTGTCTGAGTTGATAAGCAGACGAGACATCTAGGGGGGTTCCACCAAGGATTGGATCTCGGGTACTCCCATCCACCCTCCCCTCGCTCTAAAATTCTGAACCCGGAACATATTGATACCGCTCAGACTGTGCAAGCGTCTGTTCTCCATGCCAACTGGAAAATCCGGATCACCTATCACTGGGATGAGCGGGGAAGGGAACGAAGAAATCAAAGAGGAGCGAAACTGCGTCCTCGCTATCTTGAGGGTAGCTCCAATCGTGGGATGTTGAGAACAGAAAGCTGGTATGGGGCCTGAGAGCCACGGGAGTCCTGACAGCGGGGCAATGTTCAGTTCCATGCGCACCCATTGTTTATGCGTAGAGTGGCAGCACCAGTCCACAACTCTGTTCAGGTGCGCCGCTCTATGATAAAGAGTCACGTCGGGGAGTCCAATCCCCCCAGATGATTTAGGCATGGTAAGGAGGCGCCTGCTGATTCTGGGGGCCCCATTCGCCCACACGTACAACAGGAACATGCGGCGAAGGCGAGAGAAGAAAGTTAGAAACACCTTTTGAAGCTGAAGAAACTTATGGCATTAGGTACAGAAATTATCCAGAATGTTACATAACACAAATGATTCGCTCTGTTGGCGGCTGTGTGGAGAGGCTGGTACTCATGCACACATCTGGTGGGAGTGCCCTAAGATTAGACCATATTGGGAAATGGTGATAGATACTATTAGGCAAATATGTGATTATACAGCTACCCTTGGATCCCTGGACATGCTTATTTCACCTCACAGCAGACTCAGCTAGGGGGTACAAGAGATCTCTACTACCCCATATGTTGAACGCAGCTAAATCATTGATCCCGAGATATTGGGGAACAGCTGAAATCCCCTCTATCTCGGAATGGTTTGTAAAACTGGATTCAACCAGGTTGATGGTTGAGCTAGTGATGATGAAACAAGATAAATATGCATTATTTCTTAAAATATGGTGAAAGTGGCAAGAATTCAAAGCATCAGAGGTATACTGCCCTTTTGCAAATTAAAAAAAAAGGGAACGATTAACGAATAAGGAATATTAGTCAACCATATGGAATAGGAAAACATAAAGGGAGCAAGAATAGCAAGAGATGCCATAGAAAAGAAGATATAGTAGATAAATAGTGCAAATAGATGCAAATAGTAGAGCCTTGGGGGGAGGGGGGAGGGATGTACATGTTATTAGTAGTAGGGTTGAGAGAGGTAACTTATTGATATGTCCCAGGTGGGCCAGATAGGTATAAACCTAGAATAGGAGAGGTGGAGCAGGGGAGGACTCATAGAGAGGTATAAGGACGGGCACAGATAGGGTATAGAGAGGGAAGGGGAGGAGGGAGTAAAGGGTAGAGGATTAGATGCATAGGGAACACGAAAGAATGGGGGGATTTGTTAAGATATATAAATAAGGAGGATTTGGACAAACAGGATAATTCCCACGTACAATACACAGACACTAAGAGAGGATACGCAAGGGATATACTGCACTTTAGCAATATTTATATAGAAGTAGATATGGGACACAGCATTATATAATGAATTAGATAAATACATTAAATTATAATATTATATATATATTATATCTTATATTAGAATAGGAATTAAAATGTTCACATTCACGAAATGTATGGTTATCATTAAATGGGATTGTAACTCAACTCAGCACTAAGGGAGTAGAGACTAGATGGGAGGGGGAAGGGGGCAGAAAGATAAAGGGAGTCCTCCCACAAGGGTCTAGCCTAGGAGGAAGGAATGAAGATCCCCCGTTGGGATCCCAGGGGTCCCGAAAGTAGCCGAAAGGGATGATTGTTAGAGTGTTATGTGTTAAATGTAGAGGTATGTAAGAGATGGGAGCATATAAAATGTGTATGACAAAGTTGTTAACTTTTACATGTCAAAACTGAATAAAGACTAAATAAATAAAACTTAATAAACAAAAAATTAATTATCCAGAATGCAGAGTGTTTGTATGTTTTTGTAAAAGCAAAATATAATTTAAAACTGTTGCAAGGGCAGGAATGGTAGGTAAATGCAATAAATTGTACGATGGTCATGGAAGCAACCCTTTTCTTGGGCTTGGGAGCAATGGGCAGTGCTTCTCGGCACCATATCATTACTTGTTATCAATATTTGGTGCCTGCAAAATAGCAGCATTCCTATACAACATTGCCTATTCTTTCTTTATTATTTGCTATCATTTTGTCTCTCCACAGACTGCTCTGGATGATTCCCGGGACAACCGGCCCTTCAAAGTCTACATAGCCACACAGGGTTGTCTACAAAACACAGTTTGTGATTTTTGGTCCATGGTATATCAAGAGAACACGCATGTCATTGTCATGACAACCAAAGAGATGGAGAGGTCCAGGGTACGATTTTTGTTTGTCCATGCTTTTCTGTAGGCCACCACAACCTGTGGAAATTAGCTGCTTAGTTCATCCAATAATAGGATCTGAATACCTGCAGAGACGTGTTTTAGTTCTGCACCCCCTAGGCCAATTTACAACTGGCCTAGGGGGCGCAGAACTAAAATACTGTTAATTTTATTACTGGTGATTTATTAATTCTGCTTCCACATCTACTCCAAATATTAACAGCTTTGTTTCAAATCTGACCTGCTTGGCAGTAGTTGAGGACTGGAGTTCAAAATTACTGACACAGGCTGCAATCATCCTCCGCCACTTGTCTTTGGCCACCTCAACACTTTGTGTACAAAGTGTATAATATATTGTATCAACAGGAAAGACATTTAGCTTCCTTGTTTCTGCTTGTGTTCTTACAGAGTAGTGAAATTAGGAGCAGCCTTCTCAACCCTCTCCCCCCCATAATTGAATTATAAGATTAAAACATCCATCCTTGTCTGCTTGCTCATACAGACCTGTAAGGGTTTTCAATTAAACATTGGGTAAAGGAAGTCTGCAAGCGAGAAGGCAGGGCTGCTTTCTTATTAGAAAGCCAAGAGTTGTCTGGTTCCTACTGTTATGAAAGCATTTTTTTCTAAATGTTTGTAGAATGATATTATACACATAATCAAATATATATAAATAATTAGTTTATAAAAGTTTAAACATTATTAAAATTGACCAAAAACATAACTTTGCCTTTTTAGATGTACCTTCTTTTGGTGAACAAATATTTCCGATTTGTTTCTATTAGTTAGTGGATTTGATTAATACACATGGACGCTTCCCAGCTGTGTGCCTCTTTTTGTGCCATTCCTCTCTTCTCAATGAGAGTTCCCGCAGTGGGACATGTACTGTGTGTATAGTGGTGAGGGGGCATTTATAGGATGTGCAGCACAAAAGAAATCCCGGAACCCATCTGCCAGGAAACATAGATCTGTTTCTAGTTCTAAAACTGAGGTCTCCCTTTCATACACTAGCAGTATGGCGACAGCTGAGATAAAATAAAACCTTTCTTTTCCTTCATCTGTCGTGAATGCTTCTCTATTGTCCTGGAAGAAACTGATGCTATCCCAAAATAATACAGTCAGCTTTATTGAACATTTTGACATATTACAATAAAGAGGTAGACCCCCATATCTCGGTAGACTCCCATATCATGTCTTGATTTCCATAAGAGGAGGTTTCATTCACATTGTGGTAGAGGTGAAGAATTTATGTGAATTGCAATATTAAATGTTTCTGTCTATTGGATAATTTTACTTCTAAAACTATATGCTTCTATAAAAGAAGCAGGCATGTGTAAATTGCATTTGATATCCCTGAGAAAAAAAGTGTTTCCAAGGTTTTTTTGGCTGCCGACCAGTACCAGGACAAAGTCCTTTAGCACCCAAGGCAAAAAAGCTCCAAGTGTGCAATTGCCCCTGCATAAGTTGTGAACTACTTCAGCTGCATAGGTTGCTGGTCCTGATTTTTTTGCACCCCCTTCCTCCTGAAACATCCAAGGCAGCGGCCTCTTCTCCCTACCCCTTAACGCGCCACCTGAACACAGCTGTGGAGGCTGGGCATGGGACCTCTATTAGGGATGCACCGATACTAGTATCTGCATCGGCGCCGATATTGAGTATTTGGGCGAGAACTCCATGCTACCGGAAGTACCGGTATAAGTTCTCAGTATCTGTGAGTGCTGAATTATAAATATCGGTACTCCATACTGAAAATCCGGTATCTGTGCATCCCTAATCTCTATTATAAAAGAGGTACGATGTCCTTTTAGACAACAGTCACATCTCGCTGTTAGCCAGAAGAAGCCTGGAGCTGGTGATAGGAGGGTGGCATTTTGTTGCAGCTTAAGTGATTGGACATATAGAAAGGTTTTGAGTAGATTAGTGTTAAATTAGACTTTGAGTTCCCTTTAAAATACCCCTATAGCAATCTATTAATGCCCAAAAGAACTCATTATGAGTATGTAATTTGAATGATGCTTTAAGGTTTTGCTGGGCTTAAAGGAGAACTATGGGGTTAAGGCTTTTCCCCATAGTTCTCCTAAGGGGAACGGGAGGACTCAAACTAGCGTCACCCTAGGCTCAGTATACGCTGAGACGCCGCAGCTGAAGTGGATCCCGACAATTATGCCAGGATCCGCCAAGCTGCGTGACTGACAGCTGGCTCTGCCTATCTAGAGGCAGAGCCAGCTGTACCCACCCCCGTCCGTTCCGCCAGTCAGCGCTGGTGGATCGGAGCGGGGAGAGGGGAATCCAGCCCCTCCCCTGTCATGGCAGAGAGCCGTGAGCGAACGCAGGAATGTGTTAGCTCACCTCCCGATCTGCTGAGCCGACCTGTGACAGTCTCATTGTCACAGGTCGGCTAGAACTATGAGGTGAGTGAAAAGCACTCACCTCATAGTTCTCCTTTTAATGCACACCTGTCATAAAAAGATGATTAGACATTACTTGTATCGGGTTGTAAAGAGAAGATACATTTAGATCTTACAATCCACTATCCCTATTTTGTTGTTGGGTGTATCCATCTTAGAAAGCTGTCTGTGCCACAACCTGAAATTGATTTTTGTTTTCTTAAGAGGCTTGTATTTCTAACAGCCGTCCCAGGACTTTTACGCATTTGCAGTAGTGTGATATGCCGTTTCTCACAGGTAGAGCAGTACATACATTGAAGGGACATAGTGTACATTGCTTGACTCACGTAAATCTGAGACAGTGCAGCTTCTGATCAGTGTTTACTAGCAATTTAAAATGTGATGTCAGGCAAAACTTTTTAAATGTTTTTATGTCTTCATACCTTAGTTGTTATGTAATTGCTTGAAACTGACTTGAAAGCCAGTTAAGGCCTTGTTCACACCAAATGCAGACCAGATCCGGTCAGGTTTCTGCACACGCAGTGTAGTGGGTTGTGCCGCGTTTTAGACGCGTTTTGGATGTGTTTTTGATGCGTTTAGGGCCGTTTTTGGTTAAAAAAAAAAATATATATATTTTTTTTAAGTTTAACATGGGCTTTCAGGCACTTGCATGCGTTTTTGCATTTTAGATGCGTTTTGATGCGTTCCAGACTAGATCCCGAGCAGGTAAAATAGGGCTTGCCACATTTTTTTCATCCGGTCTGGATCTGCACGCTGCGATGTGAACTGGAGGTCAAAATACCATAGGAATACATTGGACGCAGTTTTGATCCGGTCTGCACCTGCTCTGGTCCGGATCTGCTCCGCGCTTGGTGTGAACAAGGCCTTGTTCAGTAAACTAAAGAAACCAGAGTACATTTTTACTACTGCTGGCAACCGTAAATGGAAATCTGATTGCCATGAATTACTTATCGGATTACTCCCAGCTGGTTAATAGTTCAATAAGAAATAATTAGGTGCACCGGAACCCGAAAATCTCATAAGCATCTAAAACATCTTTTTTTCATTTACCTTCCAGAAAAAATGTTTTCGTTATTGGCCAGAAGAGAGCTGCACTAAGGAATATGGCTGTATCAGCGTGTCCAGCCTTGCCATCCATCTAGAAAAAGATTACATCCTACGAGAGCTGCAGATTTCCCTTACAGACCAGGTAAGAGGATACATCAGCTGGCGGCAATATTTGTACTGTGTCTTTGCTGTCCTGTAACCAGCAATTACCATTTTCTGGTGGTGTTCCTTAAGTGATCTGTCTATCCATCTTCTGCCATCTTTTTTTCTTATGCTTACTGCTCCATCCCTAATTTTTGTAAATACTAGAGAGGTTTAGAAGAGGGATAAAGAAATCAAGCGTTTACAAGAGTTTTAGTAAGCGATTTACAACTATTATGTGAAGTATTTTTGGCTTTCTCTGGGGTTTTTTTTTTTTGTTTTTTTTTTAAATGGTAACAATAAATAATAAACATAAAGGAGATAACCCGTATAGAACATACTAAGTAGATCACCTATATAAAACACTATGTTTAGATTAATTTAGTTTACTCATTTGTATTGAGATTGTAGTCTATCACGGGAGCAAGCTTCCAGAAGGACAGTGTCAGGACGAATTCATAGATGATTTAAGGCTCTACAGCCAAGAAATACAAAAATAAACTACAGTTTTTATGGTTTATCTCCTGAGTTTAGTGCCACTTTAACTTAAAATGGGTATAATTATCCTGGTGTGTTAGTGAATTGAGCCTAATATATAAATTACCAGAGGCTTCTATACACCAAACAAAATGGACTGTAGAGCCAAAGGAAATCTCACAGCTCCAATTCCTTAGCCACCATCAGGACTCCCCAGGTGCTGGTCTAATAGGTGCATCTCCACCTTGGGATCGAATAGTATATGAACAGACCGCACTATCCAGAGAATTCCAATACTTCAGACTTGATTGAAATTCACAGCAAATCCAGTATAACAATGAATACAAGTATATAAAGCCGCAAATACCAGCACCGCAAACCCCCAACCAGCTACAACCTCTCGCATGTTTCACCCGTAGGCTTATTTATAGAGGTACAGAACAAGAAACAGAGTGGACTGTTTGCATGTGCAAATTAAGTATGATGTACAGGAGATCACTATATGCTAAACAGTACAGACTGTATACACGTAATCTATTATATACTAGAGATTAATATATACAGTATTTAATAAGCCTAAATTATATATAATACAGCAGAGATTACCATTTTGTGCAGATAACGCATAAGCATACTAGTGATCTACTTTTATTATACAGAATATGACACATACACATATTGTCCTTTAAACATCAATTTACACAAAGTGCTGGCTTATCCAGCATGAAAGCTCGGATTCACACATTGCGAACTGAAATTTCTACTTGTGTCAATTGTTTTGCACTTTCCAGAAATATTTGCACATAATGACTGGTTTTAAATATGGTGTTTTGACACTTGTGTCAACGTCCACGGCTTATTTTCTATCATAGAGAGTGACGGTTTCTCTGTAGCAGCGCTCACCCATATGTAATTGGATAATAAACATATCCTTGTCCGCTTCTTGTCGGCATAAGAGCTGTCAAGCAGATCAGAGGGCTCGAAATCTGCTGCCAACATTACATCGCCAAGACAATGCTGTAATTACCACTGCAGTCGAGTGAAGAGCTCTGCATTTCAATGCATTGTATCTTTTTATGTGTCCGCTGTTTCTTGGATGCTCAGAATGAACCCTTTATATTTGCGTTTGCCCTTTCTGTCAGAGTTATGCAAATAATTAAGTGTTTGTAACATGAGCTAAAGGTACCCTCCAATCAAAACAGGAAATGAAACGCTGATATGCATGTACTGTATTAACACAGCCTTCCTACTTAAGACTTCAAATTTACTTCTGGGCCATCTTTAAAATGAACCTAAACTGAAAATGTTATTATAGGGAACATCAAGAATGTTACTGGATTAGTAATCCAGTGAAGTACAGAAAGGCAGTCTTATCACTTCTTGGAATAGACAATATGTGTACTTATAATGAGAAATAAAAAACATTTAGAAAAATGGGAGCTTTGCAGGGAACTTGGAGTTTCTGTCTTGCTGGTGTGATATATTTATATAGCAATGCTCTTCTTTCTCTGTTACAGGATGAGCCTCCAAGACACATTTGGCATTATCAGTACTTGAGCTGGCCAGACCATGGAGTCCCAAATGAACCAGGGGGAGTACTGAGCTTTTTGGAAGAGATCAATGCAGCTCAGCAGTCTAGTCCACAGTCTGGACCTATAGTGGTACACTGCAGGTATTTCATTCTATGGGGAGGCAGAAAGCACTACTCCTCCACCTCTTAAATACCTGACACATACAATAGCTATTTTTATTATGCTCTCTTTCAGTGCTGGCATTGGACGCACTGGTACAATCATAGTGATAGACATTCTGGTGGATACAATTAACAGGCAAGGTAAAGACCCAGCTCTATATTACAGTTTTATGTTTCTTTTTGTGTTTAAGACCACTTCTATCCCAGTTTTGTTTCTTAGATTGTTTGGCGAAGAATTACAACTTCTGTCAAATTTTCATCAGCATCTGTATCACTATACATCTCAATACAAATAAGTCAACTAAACGAGAGATTGTAGTCTATCACAGGAGCGAGCTTGGAGCCGTGGCTACTTTAAAACACACACAGGGATCATGGAGAACAAAATTAGCCACCCTCCAGAAGGAAGGACAGTGTCAGCCTGGATTTAGAGATTTAGAGATGATTTGAGGATCTACAGCCGAGTGATGCACAAATAAGATACATTTTTGTTAATAGTTAAGGTACTTAAATGCATTTTTAAGGTTTACCTCTTGAGTGGAGCATCACTTTATATGCATGAAAATGCATCAAGGTCACTGTCTGAAATGCATATCAGTCTAAAGCCCACAAAACAAGCTCTAACCCTTATAGCATACCTGTGCTTTGCCGTAATGTCCCCTCCCCAGCAACACATACTCACTTTACATTTAATTTGCTTCTCAGCTGCTCCAGGAGCAAGAAAAGAAAGCCCCACATAAGCTCCAAGTCACCGAAATCATACTTTCCTCCATACTTGAAAATATTAGGTATTTTTCTTAGCTATGTGTGGCTGAACAGAGTGGGAGGGAAGCAAATTAAAGGTGATCATGTGCTAATTAGGAGCGATCGGGGAATGAAAGCAAACCAGATTAATTGCCCTGCATGGACAAAGTTCAGGGTTGCTTCAAGATTATTTTATATTTTACATGAGCAGTATTTAGAAACACTCAATATTGTTATTTTTCCTATGTTAACCTCCATCTAAATGTATTATTTCATGTGGGGAAGAGGTAACAGATTTTTTTTCTCTATGTGACTCTTTTGTGGAGATTTCCCCCACTTCCTGTCCCTGTGAAATGAACGTGGTGCATGTGTCACAGGGTCAGAATGGCACAGATGGCAATTAAAAACATTTGTCAGGAGTTCTAATGCTTCTTCACTGTGCTAAATTGTGTTTTTGTCTGTGTCCCTGTTGAACAGATTTCCAATCACTTCTGTCCTGGCAGGATGTAAGGGAACCTCCCGAAGGGACATAGAAAGTAGTTCCAATGTTTCCCTGCTCTATCCAAAACTAAATAAGTTTTGGCTGGAATTGGACTTTAAATTGTAAGCAGGCTAGCCTTATGATTCAGCTCCAGTTGTTATAATTTGTTACAATTATGTCTTGTGCAGTCTTTGATATAAAGTCTTGCCAAAATGACATTTCAAAGATATCACAAACAATATGACCCACACAGGTTTGGATTGCGACATTGACGTCCCAAAGACCATCCAGATGGTGAGGCAACAGCGCTCGGGTATGGTACAGACAGAGGCCCAATATAAATTCATCTATATGGCTGTACAGAAATATATTGAGTCCAGGAAGAAATATGCGGAAGATGAACAGGTGAGTAGATGCCATTCCCACTTCAGCAGTAGCAGTAGATATTACTGTAGCAGTAACATTTGATTTAACTGTTTTGCCAATAGAAGTAATAACCAGTAAACTTACTTTGTGGTTCCAGCAATGACCTGCAAAATAAAGTCAATAAATAAGTGTAAGGAATGGCATCATTTTATGTGCAACATAGCTTTTATTATCACTAAAATAAGCAGCAAAGTATTTTAAAGGCTATGAATGTGTGTTATAAAGACATAAGTATTTACTATAGCTAGGAGACCTACACATGGCCAAAGATGTGAGGAGTGGGGTTTGGAGGTTTTGCTTATTATATTCAAATATTGATTGTCCTGCTTTTAATAAACTGCAAGTTTTAAAAGCAAATAGATACAAAGATCCCATGCCAAGGGCACCATTTGTTTTTGTGCTTAGCAGTTTTTTGTTGGCTTGCTGCAGGTGGTTTCTATTTAAGCTGAACTCCAGGTAAAATAATAAATGCACCGGGGCTTCCCTCCAACATAAGGGTTAAATGCTTGTTTAGGGGGAACATAAAAAGCAACTATAATTCACATTTTCCTCGCCCCTGCAGGCTTCCTCCCAGCTGCATGGTCGGTCCCTTGAAAATTCCTTCTCTTTGCTGCCCCATCGGTCGCAGTCACTCTGCTGTAATCACGTATAAAGCAGGGCTCACCCAAAACTTAAAACGTCAGAGATAGGAGAAGAGTACCAGCTTCTGAGGGAGTCAGGGATAAGGGGTGTGTGTGTGTATATATATATATCTATATATAGATATATATATAATGTGTATATTATACCGTGTATATGTAACATATACTGTATATATTTATTTTTGTTTCCCTCCACCTTGGACAAAACAAGCATATCACCCTTGCAGTCCAGTGGAAGCCTCACTGCAAGGGTCATGTTTTTTTTTTATTTTTCCCTGTGTTCAGCTTAAAGATTATACTGTTGAAAGTGAATCTTTGGCCAGGCTAAGTAGATGGAATAAAGAATTTACATATTCATAAAAAGGATTTCAACTTTAATTTAAAAACATTGCGTGCAGGTGTATTTTTTTGGTAGGAGAGACCCTTCCCTTCCTGCTAACATCTTTTTAAAATTGTACACTGACTTCCGCTCAGTGTACAATTCCAGCATCTTTCACATGTAAGAGTTGAGTGTCAGGATGATGTGACTCCCTTGTACCAGAGTTACATAATCAATTCTTCAAGGTAGAAGATGCTGGACCCAAAAGATGGCAGTGTGCCACCGGGGAGAGATGTGGCTGGAGGTAAATCTCAAATGAAGTTGCTGCAGTGACCTCTACACCCACGTCTTGCAGTCTAGTGCATGCAGGGTTCAGAACCTCCAGCAGATGACAGCAGGACAACAGAAGGTGCAAACAGGCTGCACCAAGATGGCGCATCCACAAGATGGCACATAATCGGAAACAGGTTCAGGATGGGTTGTGACCGCATAAGCTTGGATGCCCCAGGTTCACTTTAAAGCTGCTTATTGGTTGGTTATTCACACTTGATCCAAGCCACGGCTGGTACAGGTTTAGCCATCGCTTTTGTTCGGAATGGGATGGGGAGGAGAAAAGCCGTGGTTTGACCTGGTTGGTGGAATTACTTTACACAATACAGTGAAAATAATAACCCAAAAAATGCTTTAGGCTGGATTCACATGTATGCATACACCCAGGCGTATTTTTTTATTAAAATCAAAGGAAATACATCAAAGATATGTAAAGTGCATTGTCATGCATCTTTAATGTGTGTTGCAATGCACTTTGTATTGAATGTCAACACACGTTAAAGCACATCATGATGCACATTGAGACACATCTTAACGTATGCGTTGAGATACGTTATGATGAATTTTCATCGATTTTCAATGGAAAAGGCAACAAGCAAAAGCACAAGGTGTGAGTTTAGCCTTGGTGTCAACCCTGTTTGATATACCGTATAGTCTGCGCTCTCATCTGCCAATTTGAGTATTAAAATATCTTGCTCCCATATCAATGATGTGGATGATGAAATAAAGAATTCACCAAAGTTTATTTTTAAACTTCCTTATTTCTATAATGCCTATGTGTTTGAAGAGGGGAAAGACAAACGAGCGAGAGTACACGAACATTCAGTATCCACCTGTGGAAAAGATTAAACCGAAAACGCCATCTGCTGCAGCTCCCTGCCAAGCACGGTATGTAATGATCTGTCTGTCTGTCTATCTCTCTATAGATTGATCGATCTATCAAGCCATCTATCTGTCTATCTATCTCTATTGATCTATTTATTTATCTATTTATCTATCTCCCTTTATTCATTTGATCTGTGTAATCTATCTGCCTGACAAACTATCAGTGTAACTGATTTATTTGATCTGTCTTTGTCTAAGCTGAGGAACATTTATGAAAACTGTCTTGTTTGTGGTTATTTGTCATTTCTTTTAGTTTTAATGCAATTTAAGGACAAATGTATTTTTTGTACGTATTTTTAGATACATTTGCTGCTATGAAAATAAACACATCTACAGGTGCTCTTTCACACTTTGCTAAATAAGTGCACAACAAACAAAGGAAGTGGACAGTCACTATTTGGCCACACGATCACAGAGTATAAAAATGGATGCTTTGGTTGCAAAACACACAAAGGTTAATTCTAACATTTACACACAAAATGCGCATACAAACTGTTGATTTGCATATTTATTTTTATAATCCTGCCTACATAAAATATATTTTAGTGCTTTTTAATTATGACATGGGCTATTACAGGGGTACAGGTACTCCTAGAATGAGATCCTAATAGGTTGGACTTGATGGACTAATGTCTTTATTCAACCTCAAATACTATGTAACTATGACATAAGTCCATTTATTGATGTTTTTATCAGCCTTGTGTTTAGTTTTTTGCACTTGTTTCTTATACATACTGATAAAATAAAAACTATCCCTTAAAGTAGATCTCCAGGCAAAGCCTATTTATTTGTTTTGTGTACAGACGGTAACGGATAGAACCTCCACAGGGCTGTTATTACTGTTTGTGTCCCTTTTGGCCAAATTCTCCCACATTTACTAAGGGAGTCTCTCCAGCAGGGTAGAGGCTTTTTTTTCTGAATTAGAATGGGGCGATGTTAAAACTTCAGGTAAATCTTATTCCTTTCTGCGTCCCTATTGTAGACACGAGGAGACATGACAGGAAGTTAATCTCCCTTGTAGGATACAAGCAGTTAACAACAAACTGATGAAGCCTTTCCATTAATAAGGAGCTATTTTACTCCAGAGTTCATTAATCTATTTGAGTCCATCATTTCATATTAAACAGCATTTTGAACCCTGAGGAAGGAGGCATTATATAGCACCCAAAATGTGTTATCTTGTATGACCTAATTGAACCTATCTAACTCTTTCCCATTCAGTCCCAAAAAAGTTTTGGTTGGAGTTCTACTTACATGAATTAATGTACTTTTCCTTCTTTTCTCATTTTGTAAAGTTTTATGTTCCTCTCTGTGTTATTGGCAGGGTTAGTGAAGATTCCTCCTGTGTCTATCAGAATCTGAACATTAGAAGCACACATGTGTCAAGCACTAGCAGTTCTGGAAGATAATCCTTGCCATTTGTACAGACGCACAGTTCCTGAAAGAGTAAGAGCTTCCTTCCAATGAACATTGCCTGCCATGTATGGATGTCTGGGGAATCAGATGTAGTTAGAGCACAGAGATGTTTTGGGGGACAGATATAGAGCATTTTCCTTTGGAACATATTTTGAGTCATGATTATAATATTTAGCTTAAAGAAATATTTTATGTGATTTTTTTTTTTTTTTTTTTACATGCTTGCTGTACCCTGTTTAACTTGGCATTACATTCATTTCCATGTGTAGATACTCAGTTTATCAGTTGGAGTTAGCCAGCCTCCTAATTAAAGAAACATATCTGTGAAGTATGTGGGGCTACTATTGCTGACCTCCTATTAAGAATATGCTGATTGTGTTGTTGCCATGCTGATAGACTGACTTCATAGGATAGCATTTCACTTCCTGAATACTAGTTCCAGGTCAGTGACTTAGAAAAAGCAGAGATAGCCAGGCAACTAGCTTTTCCAAAGAAGGTCACCAATGGCAGCCTGCATGGTTCTCGTAATAGGTTTCCTTAAGGTAATGTTTTTACATTTGAATTGCAAAGAGAGTGTATTTGTTTATCACTGTCCTGAGAATGGAGGGAGAAGGGCTCATCGGTATTAGCTGGCAGTCCCCCTTAAGAACATACGTTTTAAATGAAGAACCTCTTAAAAAGTGGATATCACTCCTTACAGGTTCTTCTCAGATTATTATGTCAGGGCTATAATACCACTGACTGACATATAGCAGAACTCTGCAAGGATATAGAACCCCTTGTAATCCTAGGGCAATTTAATTAAACCTATCATGATAGTAAAAGCAGAGCTGACATTGCGGACTAGAGAAGCCACAAGATGAGCATGACCGCCTAAAAACAGAATAAGTAAGGCAGCTGACATATTTCCATTACAACAAGTTTACTGTAAATACCCTATTAATATTTGGTGATATAGACTAAGTATATGAAAGAGTCCTAGAAATATGAAGCTGATTACATTGTAGAATCTAGAGATACATTATAACGTTGCATATCTGAATCTGCCTTGTCAGTACTACTCCTCTTTGTACTAATTCAGGATTGTCCGTTGTGATTTGTACGATGGAAAGGTCATCTTTTATCCTTCTCAGTAGGCGGCATACCTAAACTTTCATGATTGTGAATATAGTGGATGTCCAATGTAGAGCACATGAGCTGACACTTTGTTCTTTTATTACCTTTTGTAGGACGGCACCCTTAGTCTCCCAATTCCTGGGCACGGCTGCCTGGAGTTGTCCCCAGTTCTGCAGCTTACCCCTGACCTGCCGCCGAGCCAGCTACGGAAGGGGGTCGACAAGTGTGAAAGAGGCGTGAGCTTGATGCACCTGCAATGGAGAGCACACCTATCGTAACTTATTACAAAAGAACAATCTTTATTTGCCTCAGTTGGTTTGGCATAGTATTTATTTAAGTGCCTCAGAAAAAGCAACTGAGTTTTAAAGCCTTTTATTTGTTACTTTTGTTTTGTTTTACTCTTTTTGTTTTGTAAAAATGTGTAAATAAAAAAATATGTAAAAAAAAAGATTATTTTTCTTGTTATAGCAGTAAGTTTTTCTTTCTGAATGTACTTCACTTGTGTTATTGGAATATAAAAAAGGATGCTACTGCAGACTGAGGTATAAAGGAATCAAGAGTGATGTGTAAAAGGTAGTGTACAGCAAGAGGAGATGGATGTGATTTCATGGCAACCAGCCAATAGCTATAACAGCCTGCCCTGCAGTATCCCTTACAAAGATTTGGCTACTGAAGCCTTTTATCTCCTGTAAAGAATGGTCACTAGCAAAGGTGAACCCCATTCCTAGATTGGATAATAAGTGGTGCATAGTGATATTGGGATCAGTTAACTACGCTTTAATCATTGTTTGCCACGATGACCATTATTTTCAGCAATGCAAGCCAATGAAGATTGAATTGAACACATCTGTGAAGGTACTTATTCATCCAGGTCATGGTAAATCTGTAAAAAATAAATCCAGGCAACTGGACTTCATGTATTTTTCTTGAAGCCATTTCGCTGGTCATCCGTCTAGCTTTCTCAATTCAACATGCACAAGATTCTGAATTACGAAAACTAGTCGGATCACCCATACCGCTGCTTTATAAATGGAACACAAAGCTATGTGTGAGCCTCGGGAAGTGTCTAGTATTTTATCCACTTGGGGAATGAGTAGTTTTAGGTATAGGTACATTTTAAAGTAGTTCAGTCAAAATACACATTTGAATTGTCAAAGGATTTGTGGTTCTGTTTAGCCAGTCTTATACTATACATAACCACTTGGGTTCCCAGGCCTTTTTCTCCTCAAATCAGTTCCAGATTTTTTTTCTCTTGTTTGTATCAAAAGTGTCTCCTTTCTGCACATTATACCCTTAAAGTTTTGTAGTCATCCATGCCATAATATGCATTGGGTTGTGTTTTTGGGTCTTTTTTCCGGACAAACAGGGCTTTAATTTGGTATTACATTTGGATAAATCTGTTTTTATTTCCTTTTGGGTTTTATTTGGGAATAAATAATGAAAAAAAAATGAGAAAGGAAAAAAATTAATTTTCCTTTCATTTTCCCCAACACAATGTTTATGTAATTTGCACATCAGTCTGGACATGGTGTGAACCCAGTTCGCCTGAGTTCACCAAAGCCTGCTCAAAGCTGTGACTGCCACACCCCCATCCTGGCCCGATCAGTTGTGCTGGGGATGCCACATGCTCCTATGTGACATGTAGCTGCAGGGCAGGGAATGCACCTGCCACTAGTGATTTGGCTGGGAGGGGGGTGTTGGGATCTCGGCTTTGAGTGTGCTTCGGAACCCAGGCTCATCACTACTGATAATCTACTCAGGATCTAGAAGTGGTTGGCAGAAGGATCCTGCACAGGAAAAAAACCAAATGAAATGTTTGGAATATAACATGGGTGCAAAAATTGAAAAAAGGGCCTCAGTCATGAAGGGGATAAAGTGCTTTCATTGACATAGACACGTAATTGTCCGTTCAGCTCATAGATGCATAAAATTCTGAATGCAGAGAAAATTATTTTACTATTCTCTCTACCTTTCACTCAGTGGAAGATCTTGAATCTCTGACCAATGGGATGAGAAAGGGGGGGTAGCTTTCATATTTCAATAAGTATGGTTGTGATATGTATTTTATTTCCTGTATTACATGCTTTAAGTTGAATGTGTTTATGATAAAAAGTTTAACAAAACCAACCAAGCGACAAGTATTTTATAAAATGTTATAATTTATTCAACAGTTTGCAATTGCATATCTGTCATATTAATAAAATACTGTGTAACTCTGTTTTACTATGTACAGTACATCGCATAGTCATGGCAAGTGATCCACATTTCCAATCAAGTGCTATATTAGGGCAACAAAACAGGAGTAACCAGTCAATAAATATTTATCACCTATCTATATACATATAAATATATATCACCTTATCTGTTATCGGAGTTCTGAGCCTTTGTAAAACAAACATTTGGTAAGATAGAGGATAAGTGCACTTTAAACAAAAAAAAAACAATAATTTATTTATGTAATGCCAAAACTTTTGATTTAGTTTCATGGTAGGAATGGGTAACACTCCTATCAGATTATTTTTTATTTGCTTGCGTCTCATCGAGAGGTTTATTTCCTGTCCTGGAACGCCACAAGAAATGAGAAGAAATCTTTCCAAAGTGGAAAATTGCCATCCTGGAGTGTTGGCACAGTTGTCCTCATTGAAGGATTTTCCCTCTGCTCTTGTTTTGGGGTCATCTCTAAAATACTGGAACTTCCCTCACTTTCTGTCTTTGTGACAATGGTCAGCAGGACTAATAGAATGGCGAATCTTCCCAATTGAAACACAGACATCAATATAAACTTGACAAATGTTCATACCCTTCCCTATACTACCTAAAACTAAAAGAAAATTGCAATCACATACAGTTTAATATAGCCAGGCAAGTATACCCTTGTACCAGTTATTCCATTCTGTTCCTGTCCTTGAGAGTTATCATCAAGGGTTCAGTCAGCTGAATATTCTGTGTTGATCTGGGCTCTGTGCCTGAGAAGTTACATCAAATAAAGCTTTTTGGGATTGCTTTAGATGTGTATGCTTCTAAATGCTTTCTCAGAATTGGCTGGTAGAGGTCATATGGGATAGTCTCTGCTTAAAGTAAACCTGTTATAATAGATTTAAGGGAACTGTCTTTTTTTTTTTTATAACTTGCTAGCTCCCTGGCTGTGATACCCATAGCTTCACTATTTTGTGGCTCATTGACCATAAAATAGAATGCAGTGGGCTCTTTAAGCAGGCTGTACATCAGTGACTTAGTAAGTAGTGAAACCATAGGGTCAGGGAACTTGCAGAATAAAGGCTTCAGTGGCAGACCTGCTATTTTCATGACAGATTTGCTGCGATGAAGATCCCTTTTTTTTTTTAAGCTCTTCCACTTTTCTGTACACATACTTCCAGAAATTGAACTAAAGATGTGTGCTGTATACAAATAATCACTTTATGGCTCTTGGCATGGAATCAACTTGGTAAAAGGAACATCATAACATTTTTTTAGGTGCACTTATCCTTACTAAAGCTGACCTGTCATCCAAAGTGGTGGAGAGCATCAAGGGCAAAATCAATGTGCTGTCCATCTTTTCACTTGGAGTTTTTGACACTACTCAACTGAGGAATATTTTGTCACTAGCTACTGGAAAAAGAGTACGCTTCCTATGTGGTCAACCTATAAAATGGATTCTCTAATGCATTAACGGGTGCGCTTTAATATTTAAGATATCAATGCGCTTTTATCATGATCAGCCAATCTGTGTGTTTTGTTCAGTTTAGTGTTAGTTAAATAAATAAATACATGTTTTGTGATCTATTTAAATAGAACTTGTAGTGAGGAAGTAGGCATGCTTTCATTGTTGACCTCCCTTTCCTAAAATGCTATTCCCCTGGCTTATCCAGCGCCATTGGCTCAGCACCTTCCAATGAACTGACCTGGAACAAGTATGCCGATAAGGAGCTGTTCCCTTCACTGACTTTTCTGGTTTGTATGTTTGTTCCGGGTCAGTGTCTCAAAGTATCGATGGTAAAGATGGGCAACCAGCATTTCCAGAAAGGTGTCCGCAATGACCTTCCATGTTTGTCTCAATACAGTTTCATTTTAAATTTGTTACATATGAATAAGAACTTAAAACTGCTTGAGATGATGAGTGCCTCAATTTCGATGCTTGTTCACTGGTCTTTGATGCCGCATTGCCGTATGACAAATCAGAACCTACACATGTGAAAACGGGCCCACAGCAATTTTTAACTCCAGATATAATTTTTCCAGTGCAGTTTGGGAAGTTCAACTGTAGACAATACTTGTGCCCGCATCGTCTCAATGTTTCATACATGATCCCATTTGCACATGGTTTAAGTTATTAATACACCTCCTGGCAATCTGTGATCACTTCCTGTTAGTAAAAATGTGTTCATCTAACAATATGGCTGCCTGAACTCTGACAGGCTGATTACACAGTAGTTAACCAAACTGAAAAAAAATCCAGTAATAAAAAAAGACTAGGGCCATGGAATCATTTTTTTTTATATTGCCACTAAACACTCCAGCCTTTTAGAACCACAACCCCTTGTTCTAAACCTCATATGCTCCGCATTGCACTTTTAATGCATTCAATGGCATTAAATGTTTGTTTACAGCTCTATTAGGGCTGATTCAAGATTGCAGTGGAACCTGGCATTTTAGAAGCATAAAAATCCAATCCCACACCTTAATGATTTTCATCTATTCACCCGGTTAAACGGTTATTTGTAGCAAATCAACGCCACCACGTTTCTCCAATGCTGTATGCCAGTTTTATGAGGCACTTAGGACCAAGGATTTTTATTTCCTGTAGCAGCATATACATTAAGACAAGCTTTGGCGGAACAGACAAGTGATTTTGTTTTGCCGCGCATTAGACACGGGGTTATGGGAGAAATTGTAGAGAGCAAGTAGAATTATTGAACTGTTATTATAAAAGGCTGCTGGCGCACAGTATTAATAATCCTTTGTAATGGAGGTAAAAATTGTTCTTGGTTTTTCTAAACAAATTTCTACATGTACATATGTTCACATTTTTCTGAAAAGTGCGATTAAGTGCTGAATTGTACCAGGCATCACTCCTGTGCAGGATTACATCAGGCATGTCAAACTCAGATAAAACATTGAGCTGAATTGAGAGAACTAAATCTTCTAGATGGCGACATTATGCCTACTGAGGGCCGCACCTAGTTTAATCCGGGAAATATAATGGCACTTCTGAACTTGACAATATAGTAAAAATTGGAAGTTACAATATTTATTCTCAGTAAAGGTGACATATTACACCTCCTGAAGTATTTAGCTGCACAATTATGTAAAAGTATAACTAGAGAACAGCCGGAGGCCAATTCCTTTGTTTTTAATCCTTCAATCACTGAGGGCTGCAGAGAAGGAGCGAGAGGGCCCCGTGCAGTCTATAAAACCAGTTTGACATGCCTGGTCTACATGAAAATAAGATTTTGCCACAACTGCCATTCGCTTTTTGAACACTGCTGAAAACCTTTTCTTGCATGTAGTGCTCATAAGGTTTTAGGTTTCCTCAGGTACATAACTGTCATATAATACTGTATTTTTGAACTGTAGGCCTGTGTCAACATAGTCCACTCGCATCCACGTTTCCAAGTAGCACTCTATAACACAACGGCAACATCCTGTGCCTGCAAGCTTGCCACACTTTCTGCCTATCAAATGGAGCGTGTTAACATCCATGTTATAACAGTTAGTTTGTCTCAGAATAGACCTGAATGCAGAGTTTTATCCTCTGAGGAATGGACGTAGAAGGCAATGAAACAGATGGGCAATTCAGTGGGTGTCCTGTACATCCAAGCTCCACAGTAAGTAGAGTCTGCTCCTCAGTGCTGTTAACTTTAGTCCACTAGACTCTTCACTTATAATCCACGTGTTACATGCAGGGAATTGGTAGGCTTACTAGCTGTTGACTCTGTTGTGCATTTTAGGCTTCCCGTCTTAAGGATGCACTGCACTGGCCAAAGAAGGATGCAGAATAAAACGATCACCATAAAAGCAATGAGTAGGAGTCTTTTCCAATCACTGCACATACAGCATATCCTCTGCATTCTAGATCGTGGCCTTGGTGGAGGGGGAATGTCTTTTTTGCTTAACCCAATATCTACACAGATACATAAGTCTGATTGGTTGGACTCTGGATCTTGTTTGTAACAAAGCTTGGTACCCTCAATCCAAACCGTCTCTTCTTTACGTTGATGGGGAGGTAGGTTAGATAGCAGTTCTTGGCTCGTTTGTAGGGCCGGGACCCCCTCCTGTGGGATTGGTGTAGGTTGCCGGCAAAAAGGACACAGCACCTTGTCCTGCTCGTTCTCTGGTGGGAGTGAGGCTACGAGCCTTGCTACACATTCCAAGCAGAAGGTGTGTGAACACTGAAGAACCTTAGGGGTTTTGAATATGTTATCATAGTTGTTGAAGCAGATTGAACACTCCGGTCTGTTCTCCAACCCTTCTTCTACATCTGCTTGTGTATGCCAGACATCAGTTGTTGTCATATCCATGTTTAAGGCCTGTTTAAGACAGAAAAAAGGCAACATTAATGATTTGCAAAAATTTGAAATACATATTGAAAATATGCTGTAATGTTGACTCCATCATTTTAACACATGTAAAGGACATAGCTATTGGAAAACTGCTTCCAGGTCTTTACAACCTAAGGCAAAAGGAATGCAAACTGACACATGCTCTTAACATAGAAAAGGACAATGTACAGAAATCCACATCATCCAATCGGAATTTATCTTTCACATATCTCAATGTTCTAAATTTAGGACCATGTCAAACTGGTGATTCTACAGCCGGTCGCCCCTCGCCAGGGAAGAAATACAGCAATGTAAATGCCACTTTGTCTAATGGAAGCTGTTTGCATGCCAAAATTAAAATTTGTTGGTCAGGGCAGCAAGGGACTGACACCATAGTAGAATATGAGTTTTAGGTATTCTATTACTGGTGAGGTTGTATTGTATATATATATTGCATGTCTTACAGGCTTGCCTACAGTTCATACAGGGTGCAGTAGTGAATTGGTGGATGGCTCCACCATACAATCATAGGGAAATAGAAATATTCACCATCACACCTTGGTACAGTGATAATCTTGACCTTTATTCACATAGAGCAACTGGTATCACAAGCCAGCGTTTCAGGACCTCACAGGATCCCTTTCTCAAGGCAGGGTTTTACAGGCAGCAGTCTGTTGCTTTATGTAAATAAAGAATACGATTATCACTATACCAAGGCGTGCTAGTGAAGATCCTTATTTTCCTATTAAGAATGGCTAATGTGACATGGAGAGGTCTCCATAGCATGTGACCATATCAGAAAAGTAGGGGCTGTTGGTAACCCTGCCAAGAGCTGGAGGGATGCAGATTGCCCATGCTTATATAATAAAAGATAAAATAACAAATGACAATCAATGATCAGCCAAATGTATGTCTCCTTAGTAACCTTACCTTCTATCAAAATGCCAAGCCAATATTTCTGCCACGTGCACCAGCAACCACAAACAAACCACACTGCCTACATCTTGCTGAAATCTGACTGATATTACTCTTTAGTTACTGATGAGTCTGGTAGGCAAACTACAACGGTTATATGAGCTGTAAATAGATAGTACTTCCTCCTGTTAGTGCTTGGACAGTTTAATGCAATTTATTATTTCCAACCGACCTCATACTCACACACCCACATTTCCATAGCAGGTATGTCACAATGCAATGTCATGCTTGCTAAGGAAGAATGATGAGACACCAGGTATTTCCCCAGAAATTATTTCCTTGTAATATTTGCCAGTTGGAATCAAACTTCCAATTTTGTGTAGTTTTGTATGACAGATACAGTATATGAATGCAATGGATATTCATTGTAAACTCCAGCAAAGAAATAAGACTGTTAATCTTGTGACATAGTAAGATTGACAAAAAACAAAGAGGTTGATTTACTAATGGGAGAATTTTCCTTTAGCTTTAGTGAAGGAAGTGAAGCTCCTTTGACTTCCATCATCCAATCATGTAAAAGCAAAAATACTGTTTTTTTTCTTGCATGTGATTGGCAGCAGCGTCACTGGACGGTGCGTACCACCCCCAGGTGACACCAGTGTATCACCAGGTCCTGGTCTGCTCTCAGAGCCCAGGGAGAGAGGGGACTATTTTATCACTTTTGGCGGCCGCAGAGTAATGACAGTCTATTTGCTTTTAGTATATCAACCCCAAAGGGTCAATGGACCAAGGAGGTTTGTGTTATTTCTTTATGATTGGTTGTCTCTTTTATTATTATAAATATATAACTTGTGAAGCAATTGACAGCTGAAGTTTTGAAATGTTCCAAAGGAAATGTAAGAACATGACTTTTTATACCTTTTAATATTTACATATACAAAATTAATTTAGTTTAGCACCAGCATCTTCCACAACCGGTTCCCTTATTCCCTCTTGACAATTTTCTATGGGACAGTTGACAAAATTATTTACTTACTGACCTACAATTGATTGTTGTCATGTAGTTATGGCTCTGCTAATGACATGGTGATTCATTTTTCAGTGCCAAGCATAGAAACCAGTCCTTGCTTATAAAGCACTTCTGTCCATGATATGCAGTTGAGGATTGTTGGCTCCTCAGATTGTATATAGGCCATAGAATTCTACAATTGTATTAAAAGAGATCACATACCGTAGAGCAGGGGAGGGCAAACTCCAGCCCTCCAGCTGTGGTAAACAACTCCCACCATGCATCTGCCTCGCCTCTGGGAGTCATGCCTGGGACTGTCCAGGTCTTGAAATGCCTAATGAGATTTGTATTTGCACCACAGCTGGAGGGCCAGAGTTTGTCTACCACTGGCCTAGAGATATGTGGACCCGCACCCCCACCCCGAGAAAGCCTTAAACCATGGGAGGGCTATCTTTATAAACATTTCTTGTTACCCCATGACCTTCTGACAAATACCAGATTTTCTACACTGCTACTATACTGTATACCTTCAATATCCATACCTGGCTTCTTTACCTTTCCTGTGCCACAAGACCCCATCTATTCCCATGGTAGCTCTACAACTAGTCAAAGAAAGCATGTTATGAACCCCAATAATGAGATCCACAATGTTTCCAGCTATTTAGCAGGTATAAAATTCTTTATGCAGCATCATCTCTACACACATGTGATGGTTTCGTGACAGGTCTACATAGCTGATCTGTTGGTGTGGTGAAATTCTTACATAAGTGTTATTTAGATTCCTGAAGACAGCACGTGAACAAATGATGTGGCTGTGTCATTGTTGTCATGTGACTGCAGGGAATTCTTGTCTTTGCACTCATCATCTCTCAACACAACCTCATCACTAGCAGCTGGTAGCATGGATCTAGACAATGACCTCATCCTCCACTCACAATAGGGCATTTATGCCTTGGAGAGAAATAAAGGATGGAATTGTTTCAGCATCTTAATGATGAACTGAGGCTTATGGTTCACATAAAATGACATACACACAGCTAATTCATTGGTCTGCATCTTCATTCACTGTACCAGAATGTACAAAAAAAAAACCTACATCCCTATATCTATTATGTCAAGTCTGTGATTGCACATCTACATCTTTCAGTATTAAAGTGCATGTAAACCTTAACAATGAACTTCTCTTATTTGCTCCCTTTTGGTCTGTTAAATATATACCATTGAAGGTGTTTTGTTATATCTGCGTGATAAGTGCAAAGTACCTGCTGTCACAATCTTATAAGCTGATAAAAACTTGTGCTTTCTGCCTCTCCTGCACTCGTACCATTTAGCATTTTTGTGAACTAGTAACCCCCATGTTACAGAGATGAGGAGATGAACTCCCCATGTTACTTCTCCCCCCTTAGATAGAGTGCAGTGAGTAGGTGTTGTCATAGAGTTGCCACCTGTCCAGGATTCACCTGGACAGTCCGGGTTTTGAATGCTGTGTCCGAGTTTCATGACAGCAGAAACCCGAAAAATGAGATGTCAGGCAGACAGGGACAGGGGCTAGTGGCCCCCCACTGAAAAAAGTCTGAACTGTGATATTTACAGTACATATGAATGGGTGACACTATTTACATATGAATAAGCCAGGACTAATTCTCCCAAAAAAACAGCTACGCGCCGCTAGCGTGTTCGGGTTTCGCTTGAAGAAAAGGTGGCAACCCTATGTTGTCACCATAGGACAGGAAGTATGTTACTGGCAGGACTACCTGGTGAGGATATAGGAAAAAGTCCTTCAAAAGAAAACGAATGCAGCCTCCACATCTAGAGACTAGCAAGCTGCGATATACTAGATTTCTGTTCTTGGGTTTAGATACACGGTAAAGAATTGATGGACACAAAAGTCAGCACTGAACGGAATATACAGCCTGGTTAATGTCTTAAAAAGTTTGTATTAGGGGATTGCCATCTGAAGCACAACATTTGCTTATTATTTACCTCTGCTTCCTGCTTTGAGGTGCCACACAATGGCTGAGCTTTTGTGCTTCTTCTCCTAATGCAAATCTATCAGTCAGCTGACTTATTGAAAACCATGAACTGCCATTGTAGACAATGCTAACTATTTGTGACCCAGCAGAGGACACAGCCAGATGCAGCTATTGCAAACCATTGCAGGTTGCAGGGAACAGAGCTTTTTTTTGTATTATTGGAACTCCTACGGTATTTAAACCAAATGCCACGAGGACAGGTCCATATGGAGATGTGCTTTAGCAATATGCGTGTTTAGAGCTGACATACTGTAGGATATACATTCATACTCCACATATGCGCCTTGTTTATACATGATGCCAATCGTATTACAGCTGCAATATAATGAGACCATATTGGTTGATATTAAACACTTCATATTAACTTCACACACACCTATCAACTATGATAAGTTCACAGGAAACTCTATGAGCTGCAGGAAATGAACATAAACTTAGACGTCACAGATTTTGCAATTGTTCCATACTAATAACTGATATTAATAAATGAGTCTGCCTTATGTCTATAGGCATTCCCCTTATTACCCAATTGGAAACAATGGGGGCCATTAAATAAAGCATTTGCAATATGTTTCTGGCATTATGGCAATATTAGAAAGTCCTGCACCAAATTCATGAAAGCCATGCAACATGATTCTTGCTATTTCTGCTGCATGCAGCAATTGGAGTAAATTGTGTTGTATGTGTATGTATTGAAGCGCACGATAAACGGATGTATCTTGCTGCACTCCTTATCAGATCAGTAGATGACCTGTACATACAGGTGGGTGCTTCTAGTGACCACGGATGGCGTTGTGATAAGTATACAATTATAAAGGATGTCACCAGCACACCATATTGAAGTCATCAGCAAAAGTCTACGTTAATTAAACATTTCCATTCGATTGCAAGCACTTTCAGGGCCTCACAGGGTCCCCTTCATCTGAGCGTGATGAAGGGAAGCCTGTGAGCCACCGAAAGGGCTTGCAATCAAATAGCAATTTTTCATTAAAATTGACTTTTTGCTGATCACTTCAATACGG